TGTTATCCCTGAGCTTTTGTGATTAAGACTAGTGATCTGCCATTTTGAGCCACAGTGTCACTTCTGGTTTTCTGGAGATAAAAGTCTCACAGAAGCCGGTGCTGGTGGCTCACGCTTATAATCCTAGCTACTCAGGAGGCTGAGATCTGAGGATCTCTGTTCACAGCCAGCCCAGACAAGGAAGTCTATAAGACTCTTATCTCCAATAAACCAGTAGAAAACCGGAAGTGGCGCTGTGGCTCAAGCGGTAGAGCACTCACCTTGAGCTGAAGTGCGCAGGGACAGCACCCAAGTCCAGAGTTCAAGCCCCACAACCAACAACAAAAAAAAGTCTCACAGAATTTCCTGCCCTAGCTGGTTTTGAATCTCAATCCTTAGATCTCAGCCTCCTGAGCAGCTAGGATTAAAGGCATGAGCTACCAGCACCCAGCTATACTTGGTTGTTATGTCAGGTTTGCATGTCTTTGACCTTCTACTTCAAATGAGCACAAAGTCTAACTATTTTATATTTTATTGTTGTTACCAAGGTGTTGTACAGAGGGGTAACCATCTCATAAGTCAGGTAATGAGTACATTTCTTTTTTTTTGGACAATGTCACCCCTTCCTTTGCTTTGCTTCAGTTTCCCTCTCCCATTCCTGCCCACAAGTTACAAAGGTCATTTTCTTTTTTCTTTTTTTGTCAGTCGTGGGACTTGAACTCTGGGCCTGGGCACTGTCCCTGAGCTCTTCAGCTCAAGGCTAGCACTCTACCACTTGAGCCACAGTACCACTTCCAGTTTTCTGAGTGGTTTATTGGAGATAAGAGTCTGCTGGTCTTTCCTTCCCAGGGCTGGCCTTGAACTGAGATCCTCAGATCTCAGCCTCCTGAGTAGCTAGGATTATAGGTGTGAGCCACCAGCGCCCGACCACAAAGGTCATTTTCTATTGAACAGCATGGTCAAAGCCTAAATATTTGTTGGTCCTATGTACCATGCTATTCACCTATTATTTTTCTATAACTGTAGAAATCACTGAGCTGTTCTCAATTTGTGTTTGGAGGCTTCTAGAATAACATTCTATTTTTTCAAACAAGGACTATCAGACAGGTAATTTTAAAAGGTATGACAATCTATTCTTTTTTTTTCTTTCTTTTTTTTTCTTTGTCGGTCGTGGGAGCTTGAACTCTGGGCCTGGGCACTGAACCTCAGCTCTTCAGCTCAAGGCGAGCGCTCTACCACTTGAGCTACAGCGCCACTTCCAGTTTTCTGGTGGTTTTTCGGAGATACGAGTTTCACGGACTTTCCTGCCCGGGCTGGCTTTAACAGAGATCCTCAGATCTCAGCCTCCTGTGTAGCTAGGATTACAGGCGTGAGCCACCAGTTCCCGGCACAACCTATTATTCTTAAGAGTCACATTTTTAGCCAGGCACTGCTGGTGCATGCCTGTAATCCTATCTACTCAGGAGGCTGATATCTGAGGCTCACTGTTCAAAGCCAGCCCAGCAAGCAAGTCTTCGAGACTCTCATCTTCAATGAACTGCTCAGGAAAAGCTGGAAGTGGCACTGTGGCACAGTAGTAAAGGACTAGCTTTGAGCAAAAGAAACTCAGGGACCGCACCCAGGCCCTGAGTTCAAGCCCCAGGACTGACCAAAAAAATTAAAAAAGTAAAAAAGTAAGTTGTACAAGTGCACCACCCCACCATCCGTGTACAAGAATGCTACAATAAAGGCTTTGATCCAAGGAGATGGTTATGAAAAAATAATCAAGAAGGTAAGTATTTGCTAAAGGCTTACCCCATGCCAGCTGTGTTTATTTGTTGAATTCTGTCACTGTATTCCTTGGGCCAAACAGTGAAGGTCCTTTCAACTCTGGTTTATTTAGTACCTCTTTCAACACCCTGCAATTTTGACTCAGGTTTTATCTGAAAGGAAGGGGATTTCTGGTAGTGTTCAGTTTGAAAAGCCAATCTAAGTACTTTTGTCTCCCCCACCTCACTTCTGCTGCTCCCCTCCCCACCCCAGGTGTGGGCCGCCTCTGTAATTTTAACTGTCTAGAATCCATCAAAAAGGCATGCAGGGCTGGATGGTGGTAGCTCCCACCTGCCTGCAATCCTATCTATCCAGGAGGCTGGAGTCTGAGGATGACAGTTCAAAGCTAACACAGACAGGAAAGTTCATGAGACTCTTTATCTCCAATTAACCACCAAAAGGCGTGTGCGCACGCACACGCGCACACACACACACACACACACACACACACACACACTCTCTTCTGGTGCTGGCCCAGGTGTGGCTAAGAACTCCAACTACTCATAATAAATTGTTTGGGGTGAAAAAGTCATGTTTTAAAGTACAAAAGGAAAAACCAATAATAACAAGGGTTTTGGACTTTTGTTCTGACCTGCTTTGATAATATCACTCTGGTGATGGTCTCCATAAACAAATTGCAAAATAGCGAGATGAAAAAAAAAAAAAAAAACCCACGAGAACGTTCCACCCAGGCGAGCTGGAGTTATTTTCGGGACCAAGAAGGCAGTGTCATCTGGGGTAAATATGGAACGCCAAATCTGTTCTTTTAATACTCATCCTCCCTTTCTTTTTGTCAGGCAGAACAAAGTCAGTCATTCCTGCTGAATGAAGCTCAGCTCAGGGTTGAGAAAGTGCAGCCAAAAGAAGAAATGATGGTGAAGAGCAGATGCTCGGGATTATCCTGTTCACATCCCTGGCCTCTGAGACTTGCGGAGCCTGCAGTGGAGGCCAAGGGTGGAACAAGGCTGATGCTCTCTTTAGATGGCTTTGGCCTGCTGGAGAGACTGGGATTGGGACCTCAGGGAACTGAGCTTTGATTTCCTGCCCCTTGACCTTGATTCCCAAGCCAGTGAAGGGGAGGGAAGCATCTCAAGGCCACGCTCTGTCTCTGGGGTATCCCCATCTGGAACAGATGTCATATGCTCCCAGCCTCATGCTAGTCTCTTTGAACCCCTGACTCAGCGAGCCCTAGTCCAACACAACACAACTTAGCTCTTCTCTGCATGAAGAAGCAATGTCAGGCAATATACTTGCTGAATTCTGGGATCGCTTCCTCTTAACCCTTTCTTCCTCTTGTTATTCTCTCTCCTCTCTTTCCTGCCAGCACTGCAACTTGGACTCAGCACCTTGGAAGTGTCCCTGAGCTTTTTCACTCTAGGCTGGTACTTTACCACTTGAGCTCCAGCTCTACTTCTGGCTTTTAAACTATCATCCTCAGATCTTAGCCTCCTGAGTAACTAGGATTACAGGTGTCAGCCACCAGAACCCAGCTTAAATTTTAAATTATAAGCATGCCTGTGGAATATACACATGTGTAAAAGACAGAAAAGCAGGGCTGGGAGTGTGGCTTAGTGGTACAGTCCTTGTCTAGCATGTATGAAGCCCTGAGTTCAATTCCTCAGTACCACATACACAGAAAAAGCTGGAAGTGGTGCTGTGGCTCAAGTGGTAGAGTGCTTGCCTTGAGCTAAAGAAGCTCAGGGACAGTTGCCAGGTCCTGAGTTCAATCCCCAGAACTGGCAAAAAAAAAAAAAAAGAGAAAAAAAATAGATTCCCCAGCCCCTTGTTATTGATGATTTGACTAGACAATGACTTGTCTCCCCTAGGATTTTGCTCTCTCCTGAAAGCTCAAAGGTCATGGAAAATGATAGCTATCTAAAAGTGAAAATTGATCAGGAAGGATGAAGGAGGAAGAATATTCAAGTACTGGTTTTGTTTGTAGGTGTGTATATAATATTGGAATTTAAACTTAGGACATCACGCTTACTAAGTAGTTCCTCTACCACTTGAGCCACTCAATCAGACTCTCTTTTTTTCTGTTTTTTTTTTTTTTTTGCATTAGTTATTTTGGGGATCAGGTCTCTCCTTATGCTTGTGCCTGACTGGATTGTGATCTGCCTGTTTGTGCTCAAAGAGAACACATACTGCTACTTTCGTTGAGTGTTTAGATATGGTGGCCTATACTATATTGTACTGGGGTTTGAACTCATGCATGCTGTATAAGCACTCTACTGCTTGAACCAGGCCTCAACCTTTCTTCTTTAGTTACTTTTCAGATAGCCCCTCAAGTTTTTTTCTCAGGCTGGCCCAGAATCCTGATCTTCCCAATCTCCTCCTCCAAAGTAGCTGGTATTACAGGCAGGAACACACAGCCATGAAATGTGCCTTTTGTGTCCATTATTGTTCACACTTATACTTCCATTGTTTTCCAATAATGTTGTGGCCCATTTTCTTGCTTTCAGTAGAAGTAGCAAGTCATTTTCTAGAACTCAGACTTGACCTCCCTGGGTTCTCTGATCTTTCCCACAGCTAGCCCATCCTCCTACATTATGCTCCAGTCTAATTCAAGCCATCCACACATGAAACCTCAAATCCTTTGCCTTGAAGCCTATTCTCTCTAGGGGAGTTAAATAAATGAGACATTCACACACAGGTTTACTCATTGCATTGGAAGCTGACAAGGCCAGTTCTAAAACAGATTTTGGGCTACCCACGCCTGCTTAAGGACTGGACAGTTGATCAGAGGCTGAACTGGATGCCCTCTAGAGGGCCCTGGAGAGCTGAGAGCTTTGTATTCTAGAGTTCCTGGGAGAAGGAGGAATGTTCTGGAGCCATTTCTTCTTGGCATGAATCCAGCCTACACAAGAGCTGCTTGGGGCCTGGGTTGTCTAAGTAAACACGGATTCCTTGACGACTTTCCAAAATCAGAAACACTGTTTGGTTTGAACAGCCTGTGCTCTGTAAACCAATGCTTGAATATCATCAGGGCCCCATGTAAATATTTTAGCTACAGATCATAAGAATGCGATTTCGGGGGTGGGGGGAGGGGGATGGATTGCTGTTTTTTTGTTTTTTTTTAAATCTCATCACTTCATCACTGGATTCAAAAGATGAATTATGTGTTATCTCTATGTCTTGTTGACTTCAGTGATGTTCTATCTATTGTTGGTAGGTACCATTCTCTCATTGGATTGTAAGTTCCTTAGGTGTCTCTCCACTAAGACTGATGGGGTTTAGAGAAACCAGTAAAAAGTCACTTCTTCCTGACTGGATTTGGCCCAGAGTGAAGAACAGACACAGGAATTAAGAAGGTGCAACTGAATGTGTCATTCAATTGGCATAAAGCTCATGGAGAGTTTGGTTTGAGGTGCCTGACTAAAGAGCTCATGATTGTTCACCCTTTAGCCATTCAACACTGGACTGGAGGTGTACCTCAGGGTACAGGCTGCCCTACAGGACTGAAGGCATGGAGAAACAGAGGGAAATTTGCACTGCCCAACAGAACAATGGAAGGAAGGTACTTTTTGAAACCATTTCCCCTTGCTGTAACAGAATGCCCAGACTAGGTAGTTTATAAAGGAAAGAGGTTTGCTCAGGCCCATCATTTGAGAACTCCAAGAGCATGGCCTTGGTTTCTGCTCAGTCTCTGGTAAGATCCATAGGTGGTTCAGTTCATGATGAGTTCCACATGTCAGGTCTGGCCACTGGCCCAATGTACCAAAGAGACCAGTGGTGCTGATAGGCAGAAAAGGGAGACTCTGTACTGGTGCTGGTGCTGGGCTTTGCACTCAGAGCCATGATGCAGTTCCTAAGCTTTTTCCACTTAAAACTATGGAGTTCCACCACAAGCCACAGCTCCTTTTCTGGAGACTAATTGGAGATTAAGAATCTCAGGAGTAGGGGCTGGGAAGGTAGCTCAGTGGTAGAGCACCTGCCTTGCATGCATGAGGCCCTGAGTTCGATTCCTCAGCACCACATAAGCAAAAAGAAAAAGGCCGGAAGTGGCGCTGTAGCTCAAGTGGTAGAGCGCTGGCCTTGAGCTGAAGAGCTGAGGGACAGCGCCCAGGCCCAGAGTTCAGACCCCATGACTGGACCCAAAAAAAAAAAAAAAGAATCTCAGGAGTGGAAGTGGTGCTGTGGCTCAAGCGGTAGATTACACACTCACCTTGAGCTGAAGAGCGCAGGGACGGTGCCCCAAGCCCAGAGTTCAAGCCCCACAACTGACAAAAAAAAAAAAAAGAATCTCAGGAGTGGAAGTGGTGCTGTGGCTCAAGCGGTAGATTATGCACTCACCTTGAGCTGAAGAGCGCAGGGACGGTGCCCCAAGCCCAGAGTTCAAGCCCCACAACTGACCAAAAAAAAAAAAGAATCTCAGGAGCTTTTCTGCTCAGACTGGTTGTCTTGTTTTTGTTTTTGTTTTGTTTGGCCAGCCCTGGGACTTAAACTCAGGCTCTGGACACTGTCCCTGAGCTGCTTTTGCTCAAGGTTAGCACTCTACCACTTGAGCTGCTTCTGGCTTTTTTGGTTTATGTGGTACTAAGGAATTGAACCCAGGGCTTCATGCATGCTAGGCAAGCACTCAACCACTAAGCCACATCCCTAGCCCTCAGACTGGTTGTTGAATCACAGTCCTTATATCTCAACTACCTGAGTAACTAGAATTATAGGCATGAGCCACCAGCGCCTGATGAATCACACATTTTATGATATCTTATACTCACAATAACCAACTCTGGTAGAAACTACCAGTGCCACTTCCAGCTTTTTCTGTTTATGTGGTGCTAAGGAATTGAACCCAGGGCTTCATGCATGCTAGGAAGCACTCTACCACTAAACCACATTCCCAGCCCCCTAGAGTGCTAGTCTTAAGCAAAAAGCTAAGGAACAGTGCTCAGGCCCTGAATTCATGCCCTAGAGTTATAGCACACACATGCATGCACATAGATGGAGAGGGTACTTCTCCAGAATGGAAACCCTCAGATCTCTGCCTCCTGAGTAGCTAGGATTACAAGCATGAGCTACAGTGCCCAGCTTACATTTATTTTTGAATCAGAAGAAAAGAAAGCAATAGAATGGGAATGGATACGTAAGAGTGAATTCAGTCTGGATTACATTCAAATTTAACATAGTCATAAAATGTAATGTTTATCAGGACCCTCTATTTCTAGACTGCTGGGCTTAAACAATTACAGCTTACCAGCTCTATGAACCCCAGGTAACTTTTAGACAGAATGTCTGCAGAGCCTCACACATGAGTCAGTTTCTAGATCTCCAGTTCCCTCTCTGTAATCTGGGGGAACAGACAGCACTGCCAGGTCTGGGGCTGCGAGGATGCTAAGTTAACCTACCTTCCACCTGCACTGCACCCCAGCTGCTCTCCCAGGCTCTATGAAATGTGCTACATCAGACCTCGCTTTCCCTCCCCAAGAGGCAGCAAGGTCTGGACCAGCTCTGAGCACCAGCTGGCCCACAGGGTCAGAGTCCAACACCTTCCCCAGCACACCTACCTTTCCCAGTGTCTTCACAGAGCCTCTGGAGAGATTCTGATTCATTCTACAGCTGACCAGGCCTCTAAAAGCTTCCAGACCTCTGAAACCATTTTCTTCTTCCTATCTCTCCTCATTCTAACTGTGGCCTTCTTCCATTATGACTGTGGAAGCCTCTGCAGGAAGCAGGACACAAAGGATTCCATGTTGAGAAAGGGTAAAAGAAGGAGCCCAGTATCTCCTGTCGGTAATACTAGACACTCAGGAGTTCAAGCCCTAGAACCAGCACCAAAAAAAAAAAAGAAGGAGGGGTAACACTGTTCAAAAAGAAATGTACTCAAGCCGGGCGCTGGTGGCTCACGCCTGTAATCCCTGCTACTCAGGAGACTAAGATCTGAGGATCATGGTTCAAAGCCAGCTTAGGCAGGAAAGTCCATGAGACTTTATTTCCAATAAACCACTAGAAGACCGGAAGTGGCACTATGGCTGAAGTGGTAGAGTGCTTGCCTTGAGCTGAAGAGCGCAGGGACAGCGCCCAAGCCCAGAGTTCAAGCCCACAACCAACCAAAAAAAAAGAAAGAAATGTACTCATTACCTGACATATGTAACTGTAACCCTTCCGTATATCACTTTTACAATTAAAAAAGAAAAGAAATTAAGCTGGGCACTAGTGGCTCATACCCGTAATCCAAGCTACTCAGGAGGCTGAGAGCTAAGGGTCATAGTTCGAAGCCAACCCAGGAAGGAAAGTCCATGAGACTTTTATCTCCAATTAACCACCAGAGAACTGGAAGTGGTGCTGTGGCTCAAGTGATAGAGCACTTGCCTAGAGCTGAAGAGCTGAGGGACAGCGCCCAGGCCCTAAGTTCAAGCCCCACAAGTGATTAAAAAATATATATATCGGGGCTGGGAAGGTGGCTCAGTGGTAGAGCACTTGCCTTGCATGCTCGAGGCCCTGGGTTCGATTCCTCAGCACCACATAAGCAAAAAGAAAAAAGAGCCGGAAGTGGTGCTGTGGCTCAAGTGGTAGAGCACTAGCCTTGAGCTGAAGAGCTGAGGGACAGCGCCCAGGCCCAGAGTTCAGGCCCCACGACCGGACCCAAAAAAAAAAAAAATATATATATATATATATCGGGCTGGGAAGGTGGCTCAGTTGGTAGAGTGCTTGTCTCGCATGCATGAGGCCCTGGGTTCAATTCCACATAAACAAACCAAAAAAATATATATATATCAATATGTGAGGAGAGAGATAAGTTTTGACCTTATTTTAATATTGTACAATACACATATATTAAAAATCACACGGAATCCATAAGTACCCCATGAACATGTACAATTTTATGCTTTTAAATATCAGTTGATCAGTTTAAAAAATTAAATCCTCTAAAGAAAACTTTTCCCCTGTTTGTTTTTCCAACCAAGAAGCTCAGCACAAGATTTACAGTACAACTCTAACATCTGTGCAAAACTTGAAGCCACAGATGTTGGAGTGACTTTAGACTCTAATTCGCCTCTTAATTCACTTTTTTTTTTCCTCCCTAGTTTTTTTGTTTGTTTGTTTTGCTAAGCCACAACTTCATCATTTACCTTTTGATTTAAAAAGAAAAATCACCTGGTATACATCTAGTAAATCCTCTTTGGAGCAAGACGGAGTGTCTAAATAAGCAAAACACAGATGAATAATGTGCACTGAGCACCTGAGGTGATCTTATACTGTCATTAATCTGTAAACATCAAATCAAGTACTTGCAAGGACAAATAAAATTCCAGGGCCAAGGGAAATCCATCTTGTCAGGCAGAAGGAAACAGCAAAGCATGAGGAGAGGAGTCTAATAAATATATTTCATATCTCTGTAAACAGGAAACAGATAATTGTAACAGCCAAGCAGCTGATGGGAGGAGGAGAAAGAAGAGGAGGAGGAGGAAGAGGAAGAAGACTACTAGCTATGGAATGAACTGGGAGAAGTTGGTATTCAGAGCTGTCCTGATTGAAGAAACCAGCAATCCTCTAAGCAAGAGGTACAAGAAGTTAAAGCTGTATAGCATGGAAACACTTAAACACATGAATGCATCATAAATCAAGGTGACAGTAATGACTGCTGTTGGCTGTAATCGGCTTTGAGCTGTTTCAGCAGCAGTGGGATTGAAGGGCCAAGCCTACTCTCCTCTCCCCTCTACTTTGCTTTCCTAAAAAGCCACATGGAATTACATGAAATTGAGTAAGTGCTGCCATCAGTCAGGTAGCAAGCAACAGAATTTGACTGCACTTGAAGCCAAAATGAAAATTCATTAAGAGAATAGAGAGGCTCATAGAAAACAAGAGGAAGCTGGGGAGTGGGGGAAAGCTTGGAAAATCAGCCAGAGAGAGCAAAGCTCTGGACACCTGTTGTACAATTCCTAGGCAGAAGCTTTTATTCTCATTGATCAGGGAGTGGCAAACTATGGTGCACCAATGAATTCTGGCCCACTATAGATTTTTTTTTAAATAAAGTTTTATTTGTTTGTTTGTTTGTTTGTTGTTGTTGTTTTATTTTGGCTGGTCAAAGGGCCTGAACTCTGGGCCTGGGCACTGTCTTTCACCTCTTCAGCTCAAGGCTAGTGCTCTACCACTCGAGCCATAGCACCACTTCTGGCTTTTTCTGCTTATGTGGCACTGAAGAATCGAACCCAGGGCCTCATGCATGCAAGGCAAGCACTCTACTACTGAGCCACCTTCCCAGCCCTAAATAAAGTTTTATTGAAATGACTTCTTTCTGACAACATAGCTCTGTCACTTGAGCCATAGCTTTACTTCCAGCTTTTTGATGGTTACTTGGAGTTAGTTTTTTGTTTTTTGTTTTGTTTTGCTTTTTGCCAGTCCTGGGCTTTGAACTCAGGGCCTGGGCACTGACCCTGAGCTTTTTTTTTGTTGGTCCTGGGGCCTGAACTCTGGGCCGGGGCACTGTCCCTCACCTCTTCAGCTCAAGGCTAGTGCTCTACCACTTGAGCCACAGTGTTACTTCTGGCTTTTTCTGCTTATGTGGTGCTGAGGAATTGAACCTAGGGCCTCATGCATGCAAGGTAAACACTCTACCACTAAGCTACCTTCCCAGCCCAACCCTGAGCTTCTTTTGCTCAAGGCTGGCACTCTGCCACTTGAGCCATGGTGCCACTTCGAGCTTTTTCTGTTGATGTGGTACTGAGGAATTGAACCTAGGGCTTCATGCATGCTAGGCAAGCACTCTACCATTGAACCTAGGGTTTCATGCATGCTAGGCAAGCACTCTACCACTAAGGCACATTCCCAGCCCCAGATAAGATAGTTGAGTTGTGGGGTTTAGTTTTTGTTTGTTTGTTTGGTCGGTCATGGGGCTTGAACTCTGAGCCTGGGTGCTGTCCCTCAGCTCTTCAGCTCAAGGCTAGTGCTCTAGCTGTTGAGCCACAGTGCCACTTCGGTTATCTGGTGGTTTATTGGAGGTAAGAGTCTCATAGACTTTCTAGCCCAGGCTGGCTTTGAACTTTGATCCTCAGCTCTCAGCCTCTTGAGTAGCTAGGATTACAGGCTTACACCTGTTGTTGTTTTTTTTTCTTTTTGAACCTTGATCTTTAGATCCCAGCCTCTTAAGTAGTTTGGATTATAAGCTTGAGCCACCAGTATCTCCCTGCTCAGTGGTCTAAGCCCTTTCTTTATGTGAGACCATAAACTTTGAAATAAAACATCAAAAGCACTTCTACTCAATGTAGAAACACTGGACAAAGGAGAGAGATGAATTTATTGTCTTCATCTTCCCAATTATAGAATAGACTTTTGGGGAATGGGGAGAGGGCGTTTGAACTCAGAACCTCACATTTACTAAGCAGGCTTTCTGTTACTTGAGCCAAGCCCCAACCCAGTTTCCAAGATCTTTAGATGACTTAAAGCCATGAGCTGATATTAAATTGACTCACTTAATGAATTATCACTGATACCTAAACAATTTATGAAACCCCTTCATTTCCAACTTACTTTTTAAGAAAGTTAGAATATTGAAACATTGTTTACTAAGCATAATTTTAAGTTTATATTTCCTACTTATATGCCACATGTAAAGGCTATATTTTGGTTATGTTAATGAACATTTTTCAAAGGTGTAAGAAATATGTGGTTGTAGAAAGTTGTTAGCATTTGCTAGTCAGCTACAATACTTAGTTTAGGCAGACATGTCTTAATTTTTTAATTAGCTACCTCCTCACATCCCAGTTTGGTCTGGGAAATTGAAGTTAGTTACTGTGGCAAAGAAGTGGAATGACTGCTAAAAATGAAATGATTATAGACATAGCTCAGTCATAGAATACTTGCTTAGCTTGCATGTACTGGGACTTGAACTCAGGGCTAGCATACTCTCCCTTGGCTTTTTTTGCTCAAGGCTGGCACCCTTCTGACTTGCCAGATTCTGTCAGCCCTTTGGTGCAAGTAGATTTTACCCCAGAGAAGAACTAAAAAAAACTTTTTAGAAGGTGGTCCCTTGAATTAACATAAGTGAAATGCTTAGCACAGTGCTTGCCATCTAGCTTGAACTCAATAAATGTTACATGTATGTGTTTGTGCGTGTGTGTGTGTGTGTGTGTGTGTGTGTGTGTGTGTGTGTGCGTGCTACTACCCAGATTTGAATTTAGGGCAACACTTGCTCACTAGTGCTCTATCACTTGAGCCATGCCTCAAGCTACACTTTTTGCTAGCTAACAAGTTTTCTGCCTAGGCTGGCATTGAACCATGATCCTCCAGGTGCCAGCATCCTAAGTAGCTAGGATTATAGACAGGAGCCACCAGCCCCTGGCTCAGCCAGCTTAAATGTTAGCTTTTGTAAGCAAAGGATGAATAAAAAAAGAATGCCTATTTTGCAGATGAGGATAGTAAGGTACAGAAGAAGGTAAGCAAAGTTGCTTAGGCAGCACAGATGATCAGAGTTAGGGCAGAAACTGAGAATCATGTCTGTTCACCTTCAAAGCACCTGTTTGCACCTGGTGCTGGTGACTCACATCTGCAATCTTAGCTACCCTGGAGACTGAGATCTGTGGATGGTGGTTTAAAGCCAACCCAGGCAGGAAAGCCTATGAGACTTTTCTCTCCAATTCACCATCAAAAAGCCAGAAGTAGAGCTGTGGCTCAGGTGCTAGAGCAACAGCTTTGAGTTTAAAAAAACAAAGAAGGGCTGGGAATATGGCTTAGTGGTAGAGTGCTTGCCTAGCATACATGAAGCCCTGGGTTCAATTCCTCAGTACCACATAAATAGAAAAAGCCAGAAGTGGTCCTGTGGCTCAAGAGATAGAGTGCTAGCCTTGATTAACAGAAGCTTGGGGACAGTGCCCAGGCCCTGAGTTCAAACCCCAAGACTGGCAAGAAAAAAATAAAAAAGCAAGCCAAGGAAGACCACAAAGCTCCAAGTTCAAGACCCTCTACTCAAGGTACACACAAAGAGGAAGAAAAAGTCTTCATTTGGTTGTCCCCAACCCTCTGCGTCTTTCACTAGCAAGCTTGAGTTGTCCATATGTTGCAGCTGTCCATTTCTGCATGGAAACTGTGAGATCCACAAGATGAGGGACCAAAGCTACCTTGGGTCCCTGGGCAGCGAGCCCAGAACCTGGCATGGGGCAAGTTCAAATACCAGAGAAGAGGCCCATGAAGGCACTGTGTTTCTGCCCAGGATGCCATGTGGGAATTCTACAGAATTGAGTGGGAGCTCTCTGCTTCTCTGTCCTCTTGACGAGACAAAGTTCCCAGACTCCCAAGCCCTATGGAGTATCCAGCCTCTCCCTGAGGATGCCCAGATCTGTTAGCCTCCCATAACTTTCTGTCTTGTTTTATTTTCTTTTTCCAAATCAAATTCCAGAAATCCAGGTTTAAAAATAACCAAGAAATGCAATTTTTCTCCACCAAGCCGCTTGGCAAAAACAAACCCTCAACAAAGACCAGTGGAGAGTCTCGCTTCACACTTACTCATTTTCAGCCGCAAAGTCAGTTCTTGTTTTGGAAGTTGGGGAGGAGTAGAGGAGGCAGGACTCCTAGAGGCCAAGGACAAGGGGCTCGGGAGCTGGGCAACAGCAGGACTTGACGGGAAGAGGGGCCTCACAGTGCAGCAGGCACACGCCCTAGTGGGAAGACAGCTGCTTGGGACTGTGGAAGAGCCGTTTGCCTTGGAGTCCTGGCTTTCTGGATCAGGCAGGAGATCAAAGCAGCCCTGGAAAATGGCCTCCATTAGTAATCCTTCCCCAGGGGAGTCATCAGGCGTTTCTGCTCAAGCCTGCCTTTCCCTTTTATTACTTGGGGGAGCTGGTTGGATATTACAGAGAATAGCACCCCCTTTCTACCTGGTCTATTTTTTAACCTGTCCTCTTTTTTAATGCTTGTTTTGTGGGTAAGAAAAATGTATGATGGAGGGGAGGGAATTCAGGACCAGGGAAAGTTTGGAAAACTGTCAAATTTCATATTTCCTGCTCTTTTGAATCAGCATTTACGCCCCTCAATGGGGTTTTCCTGCAAGTGCTTGTATAACTCCCTTTTCAAACATTTTTTGCTGTTTTTTCCTTTCCCTGCCCCTGGGTAAATTATTCCAAAGGACTGCTTTCCACCTCAAAAGAAAGTAGTGGACAGGAAAAAGTGGTCGTGTGGTCTCTTAGCTCTGGTTCCAAGAGAAGCTGAGAGACTTTGGTTCTATTCTGAGCCTCTTGGAGAACAGGATGGGAAGAGGACAGGAACCCGGCCCTTTACCGGAGTTCCTGGGATCCTGGGCCAACAGGAAGAACTTGTTTGTTCCCAATCAGAAGGAGCCCAGGAGTTTGCTTTTCTTTTTTTTCTTCTTTTTTTTGCCAGCCCTGGGGCTTGAACTCAGGGCCTGGGCACTGTCCCTGAGGTTCTTTTGCTCGAGGCTAGCACTCTACCACTTGAGCCACAGCCCCACTTCCGGCTTTTTTTGTTCATGTGGTACTGAGGAATGGAACTCAGAACTTCATGCATGCTATGTAAGCACTCTACCACTTACCCACATTCCTAACCCCTATTATTATTGTATGTATGTATATATGTATGTATGTATTTATTTATTGTGCCTTGCTGGGACTTGAGCTTGGGGCCTTGTGCTTTCACTTGGCTGTTTTGCTGAAGGCTAGTGCTCTACCATGTAAGCTACACTACCACTTCTGATGGTTGGAGCTGTCTCTGCAGTTTCCTGCCTGGACTAGCTTTGAACCGTGATGCTTGGATCTCAGCCTCTTCAATGGTTTAGGATTAAAGGTGTGAGCCACATAGCTTCTTCTTCTTCTTCTTTTTTTTTGGTCCCGTCATGGGGCCTGAACTCTGGGCCTGGGCGCTGTCCCTCAGCTCTTCAGCTTAAGGCTAGTGCTCTACCACTTGAGCCACAGCGCCACTTCCGGCTTTTTTCTTTTTGCTTATGTGGTGCTGAGGAATCAAACCCAGGGCCTCAGGCATGTAAGGCAAGCACTCTGCCAACTTCCCAGCCCCCACATAGCTTCTTTTAATCTTTGTCATCT